ATATTCCTTATGGTACCTAAAAGATGAGGAAAATAGTAACTATGAGGCAAGATAACTTGAATTATGAATTCCTTTTCAGTCAACTGTCACTTGCCAGTGGGAGTAGCCTTTTGGCTAGAATTTTCTAAAGATCTGTTTCTTGGTTATCTTAGGCACTTTGCTACAAGGCTTAAACTTGTACCAGACTTATCCCTGATGAACTGCACAGCTGCTATTTGGCAGCTGCTCTGTGGCTCCGCATGGCTGCCGTGTAGTGCAGTGGCTAGAAGCATTGACTTTGGTAGCCAACTGCCTGGATCAAATCCTGCTTTGCCAGTTATCAGGTGTGTGGCTTAGTTCGTCTGTGTCTCAGTTTTCTCATCTATAAAATGGACATGATAACTGTACTTATCACAGAGAACTTGGACACAATGGCTAGAATATGTTAAATATTGCGCATATGCTAGTTTGCTGTTGTCGTTCTACTACAAATGAATATCATCAGAAGCTAAGACGTTTCACAGGACAACAGGCACAGGAAAGAATATTAGTCACAGTTCATACAAACACCACTGGCAGGAAGGGTTGTCTGTTAGCAATTGGGAAATTTCCACATATTCGTTTCTCTGATGCCACCCGTAAGAAATCTGCAAGGCTGTGTGGCCTCAGCAAGGTCAAATGCTCTAGGTTTTTAAGTTGATAATCCAAAATAATGTCTTACAATTTTAAAATCTAAATCTATAAACATTATAGGTGAAAGTTATTTTCCTTTGAGTTTAAGATGGCCTAATTTAAAACCAACAAACATTACCTTCTCATGCCAACCGAACTGTAACCAAGAGTGTTAACGACCACCTACCATATGAAATCAATTTCTTTTTATCAAGTTTCAGCAATGTAATGATTCCCTCAAAATGTTACATATTTTTATAAAGGAAGAATTACTTTATATGGTAAAACTATGATTCTACTTCCCAGAAGCTTGCAGCCTATGAAACATATAATTTTTTACCATTCATTTATTCAGTTTTGTTGTTTTCTCATGCTCAGTGCAGCTGCATCTCAGATGACAAGATAGCCATTTCACTATGGGCTCTACTGATTCTTTTAAAACAAATAAAAATTCTGATAAATCATTTTCACTCAGCAAAGCCAAAAGCTACAACCATCACTCTCACTATGAAATAGACTTGATGTGTTTTAATCTGTTTACTGTACGGTTGTTAACTTACAATGCACTACCACAGACTGCATTCTTTATCAAGAACAGGAGTTTCTTTGGCTGACAGTGGGAGAGGCTGGAAAATCCTAGCGCATGGCTCCAGCATCTGGGGAGCCACCCCACGGCAGGAGGGTGGAATGCCGAAGTGAGCACCCAAAGACAGAGAGGAAGTGGACCCAACTTGTCTTTTTTATTAGGAACTTACCTGAGTGGTAACTAACCCACTGCTGTGATGACAGCATTAATTCCTTTATGGGGGCAGAATAAATGCCATAATCACCTCCTATCGGTCCTACCCCTAGACACTGTTACAATGGCAATTAAATTTCAACTTGAGTTTTGGAGAGGATATTTAAGCCATAACACTTGTTCATCAAAAAAACCTTTGTACCAGTAGAATTCAATAATTGTTTACCAAACAAAGAGAACCTTGTTTTAAAATATACATAATAATAAACATATGTACTTAATAGCTTGCATTTTTATTTGTAAGCCAATTTAACACAGTTAAACTTATTAATTAGACCAAAAAGGCACTATTTATGAGGAAAAACTCTCCTATAAAAAGCTTACAATTATGTTGCTTGAAATATCTGTATCAGGGCATTTAACTCTAAAATTTTGCTTTCCTAAAAATGTGACCAAACTTCTAAATTACCAAGGGTTGTTCTGAAATACTGTGAGACTTTTAATCAAATGAAAAGAAAATCTCATTTAAAAAATACTACAAATTTTAATTTTATGTGCATAATAATTCCCATCTTAGCATAATTACTAAGAGTCAATAGAAACAATGAGTATATTGTTTCTAACTTGAAATGACAAGAATTCTACCGGAGCTTAGTAAGTCAGTCAGTCAATTGATTAGTAAATTCTGATACTTCATCCTTACGGTGTTCAAAGTCATCAGTAAAATTCAATACAAGCAAAGCCAGAGCAGCCACACAGCCTGGCAGCCTTTGTAAGAAATGATGAGTGTTTAGACAGTTGGGTAAATACACTGCTGAACTCCCCTGGAACCACAACTAAAGGTGATGCTGTGGTATCTTTGATAACTCAAAGTCTCTTAAAAACAACGGCATTATACCTATCAGAAGGTGAACCATATTTTTCAGAAAATGTGGTGAGCAAATTTATGAGAAAGCATGGTTAGATATTCACAGCTACCATTGCTCTTCCTGTTCCTAGAGGCTGTATCAATATAGTCTAAAGTTTTTATCACAATTGATTTTCCAGGCTGTTCTCTGTTGTACGTGTCCCAAAGAGAAATTATCTCCTACTGATAGGACCATGTCCCTGAGTTTCAATGATTAGATTGGAGTAACTCCCCCAGCTGTGTCAGGTATTACCCATGTCATACAACCACCTTGCCCGAACACTCAGACTATAAAGTTTAAGGGAAGCTTTGTGTTTTTATCTCGCAACTGGTAACTGATTGTCTGAGTACTATTTACTGGATGCTTTATGTCAAAAGTGCTGCGTTAGCGTGTGAAGGAATATAAATCTACACTACAGCCCTGACTACCTAGCTGGGAAGACGTGAGACACGTTTGCATCAGGATGTCCTAGTTGCTCCCACCTGAGAGTGGAGATGACACGTCTGCCCAACACCACCACTACTCTGCTTCAGGGTTTACATTTGCATGAGTATTTGTGTTGGAAAGTGAGGAACTGAAATCTCTGCTTTGGTTCAGAATTCAGGTCTGCTCCCTGTTTATCAGCTGCATGCATCTCTGGCTAATATTTATCTTAAACTCTAATGCAGTGTTTTTCAGCCTTTTTTATCTCATGGCACACTTGAACCTATAGTTAAACTTCTGTGATACCCTTAAATTATATTGATCAAAAAAAGAGTTAAAAAAGAATATACTTACTGTGCTTTGACCTTTTCTTTTGAAAATAATCTAATTAATGGTCTTTAAAAATTTTCACAGCATAACCATTGAAAATCACTGCTGTAAGGTCTTTATTTTTAACATAAGGATAGTAGTACATACTGTACTGGGTTATAGGAAGAATCAAATTGGATAACAAGTGTAAAGTGCTCAGCATAGTGTCCGATATCTAGTAAGCAAATGAGAGATGTTGGTTAATTGGGGAGTATGATAATTTCCTCCTGCCAGTTTTCTTTTTCAGAGAGGGGAGTCACACCCTGAAGCAACAGCAATTGCTTTCAGGTGAACTTTGTGAGACTTGAGGCCCAAACAGTACTGCCTGGGGACTAAGGGAATAAAGTCAGATTTGGGGTTTGGGAGGGGGAACCTCTGTCCTCCTTGTTGGGATGCAGTGAGGCCTGAAGAGCTATGCTGACCTTTGGCACTTCATGCTTTGTGGTTTTGAGAGCACCAGGAGAGAAGCACTATCTCTTAGTCATCCCCCTAAGTGGCTTTTGCAAAGCAAATGTCAAGATGGATGGGAGTAAAGAATCAGGGAATGTGGTCCTGGGCAGATACAAGAAGCCAAAAATTCCCAGAATGACTGGAGCGATTTGGACAAGAGAATGCCATGAACCTCTCATTGTACACCAACAGGCTGGTAGGGCTTGGTGACACACACAGATATAATGACAATAGAAGGCAGAACATGCTGAGGTGACATAAAGTAGCCAAGACTCAGGGGAAGAACAGATCAGTGTGAGCCAAAGGGTTAAAAGATCTGGGACGTCAACTGGCCTTTGCAGACTGAAGAGGCCGAGTTGCCCATGATGGTCTAAAATAGTGATTTTCAACCAAAAATTCCTAAAAGATCATTAATTACTTTCAAAAGAAGTTCAAAGCACAGTAAGTATATTCTTTTTTCTTACTCTTTTTTTGATCAGCATAATTTAAGTGTGTCATGGAAGCTTAACTATAGGTTCAAGTGTGCCATGAGATAAAAAAGGTTGAAAGACACTGGGCTAAAAGAAAAAACAATGAGTCCAGGTGTGGAGGAGACCAGCTGGGGCCTTGGGTCAGTGACTAGGACAGTGGTGTGTGCCAGACAACAGGGGCAAAGGTTAGAAAGCTAGTCAGAGGCCATATTTGAATGGCTGAAGGGGCTAAATTTGTTTCCACAGGAGATGGGGAACTAGAGAAAAAGATTTTGGTTTGGGAAACCTACAGCAAAACCAGTAATGAAGAAGGCGACCTGGCTTCACATGGCACAGAATAGGAGAGGTGCACACAGGGTGGTGAAATGGTTAGAAGCCTCTTCACGGACAAAGCAGGAGCACAGCGGACATACTGTACTGACATAACATTATGTACCATTTTCTGCCATAGCATTTACTGGGAACAAAAGAAAGTCTAAGAGAAGTCTGGTCTTCTGTTACTCTTCAATCTCCATTCATAATTTTCTCATGATTACGTCACCATGCCCCAGTGGGTGTGGTTGTGAGACACACCTGCTTGTTTATAGTTGCAGAAGCACCCGTGTCGACGCACCAAAGTTCTAGAGTTGCTCTACTGCAATCTCCCCTCTCTCTCTACCGCTTTCTCTCTGGTCCAACTCAGATTTATGCTTTAGAAACACAACTACATTCCTATAATTTCTCTAGGCATTTCAGGCAATGAATTATAATACATTTCCATATAATGTTAGCAGTGATAGAACAGTGTCATATAAAATTATTGTTTCCCCTCATTCAGAATCTTGGAAAGCAAATTATTTCAAAGTGGTTGGGAAAGTGATTCAATGTTTTGCCTCCTGTTAGCCCCACCGACTGCTGATATATCCGACTGCCAATACTGAGAAAAAAATTTTATTTAATGAGAGCAATGAGTAGGCTTTTTAAGGACATTCTTACAACTGCAAATACTCACTTGAGCTCTTCAACAGGATCCTCAGTAAAAGACCATCGTGATGCAGGAGGGTTTCCAGAAGAAGGTTCCAATTACAACCTGGCTGGGATAAGAGCAGTTTCAACTGACCCTGGGCTTTCATTCCTCCAGCTGATGGAGTCCTTTCAAAATGCAAGATAAAGATGGAGTAATGAAGTTAATTTATCTATGAAACTAATAGCCTTAAAGTACAGATGTAATGCTAACTCCTTTAAATGTCAATTCCTCCAAGATTACTCTGAAAATGCTTTCATGCTTACTTACTTTAGGGTTGCCCAGGGAAGGAATTACATTTAATCTCAACTAGCTAAAAGCAAATTAACATTTGGTAGCCTGCCAAATTTAAAACTGATACAAAATAGCTATGCCCATATTTCATGGAACTATGTCTGTTTTGTTTCATGGAGAAAAGAAAAATTATTCATGCATTTATTCTGAATGCATTCATTTGTTCACTTACTGACACACAATGAGTACCTACTATGCACTATTAACTCCTTCCATCATTAACAGAAGGAAGTTCTGATAGATTCCGGCTACTTTGTAATTTGCTATGTGCTGTGATTGCCAATAAAATGAAAGGAATTCAAAGCTTCTGTCAAGGATCAACTGTAATCTAATTTTTAGTATGTAAAGCCTTAAATCAACATGCAATTACCAGAACCACCGCTACCTACATGAGTAATCAGTTCATCAAAGAGAAATAATTCCAAGGCAAATAAGATTCTACTTACAAAATTACCATCAGTGTTGAACAGAAAATTGAAATCAGGTCCTCTATGTCCCACCTTCATTCACCAATGACTCAGCAGAAGATCAGAAAGTAAAGCAGGAATTGGAAACTGATAACATTCTCACCACCTCCTTCTAAAATCTCAGAATTTAGATTCACTGAAGATCATGACATGAGAAAGCCATTTATAAGAACAGCAATAATAAAAGACAGGAAAAGTTCAAACTCAATCTGGTGGTGGCCATAAGGATGTGGTATGTGGTGTGATGGTGGCGTTGGGAAGGGAGCATGACTGGGCGATGGAGCAGTGTGAATGAGGGATCAGATACTTCCGAGGGGACAGCAATGGACAGCAACGCACAGCAAAGGGCTCTAAGGAGAGGGATATTTGCAGCACTGTCATAAGCAGACACAATCTACTGAGTGGAGAGCCATCCAGAGGCCACCACAGGCTAGACCAGTGGTTTTCAAAGCATGGGCCCCGGACCAGCAGTTGGTAAAAATGTGAATTCTCAAGTCAACCTCATACCATCAGGAATCCTGAGGTGGACTCCAGAAACGTGTGTTTTAAGAAGCCCTCTCTAGAAGACTCCGAGGCACGTGAGGCTGGAGAGCCAATGCTGTGGCAGAGCTTTGGAAAGCACAGGGTGGTGGGGACAGGAGCAGGTGGCGCCATCTTTCCTATCTGTGCCTGTGTCTCGTCCAGGTCCACCTACAATAAAAATGTTTGTATCCCCCTAAAATGCTATTTTTGAAACCCTAATTCCAATGTAGTGGTATCTGGAGATGGGAACTTTTGGAGGTAATTGGCTCATGAGGGTGGGAGTAGTGGCCCTATAAGGACAGGCCAGAAGAGCTGACCATTTTCTGCCATGAGGATAAAAAAGTAGGTGGTGGGCAAGCTGGAAGAAGGCCCTCCTCAGAACAACTGTGCCAGTGCCCTCATCTTGGACCTTTGGCCAAGTGTTTGCGTTTCAGCCACCCAGTCTGTATGTGTCTGTCACAGCAGCCGGAGCTGACCACACACCCCGCGTGCACAGAACTCCTATACCCTTGTACCTGCACCTTAATCCTACTCGACCTTTAATCTGCAGCAGAAGCTTCACTTTCTCTGTGACGACTTCACTCTCATTCTGAGTTAAGCCTTTATGGCGAGTGGACACACTTTAGCTCTTTACTTTTTCATCAGCTAAAGTTTCCTCTCTCCACCCAGATTTAAGCCTCTTTAGGATACTTATTTTATATTACCCCCAAACATCCTCGGCAAAACTAAGCACATTTTAAGGCCCTATAAATGTTAAGTGATTGACTTGTCAGCTCATAAATGAATAGGAAAACTCTTAAAAAAAAAAAAAAAAGATGTTTTGCCAAAAGGCTGGCTTAAGTAAAAGAGGATTCAAAGGTATAAAATGAAGACGTGTTAAAGCTTGGCTTGGCTCGGTGTCTGGAACACAGCCTAACTTCACGACACACAGACTTCTTCGGCCTATGCTTGGACTTTGGACCAACTCGGGCTTCCCAGATGAAATTCTAAAGTGGAGTAACTCATGGAGTAATATGTAAAGCAGAGTGAGTTACAGAAACGCCTGCTTCAGGGGCGGTGAAGAGAAAAGAGGGATGTTACTTGGCTCCTGAGTTAGAGGAAGCCAGTCTACCAGTCTTGGGTATCCCAGGAGTTTGGAATCACTTTCCCAGATTGGTCAGACTTTTCAGTAGTTCCAAGTACGGCACCAAGGGAACAGCCACTGGGTGAGCCCTTCGGACTGAAATCAGAGCAGATGATGCGCAGGGAGTGGCCCTGCTCCATCCTGAACCCTGAGGACAGCCTTTTAGGACTCCCCTTGGGGTTCAGTATATGAGAAGCAGCTAGTTGGTAACAAGTTCTGTTTTAAAATTGGCTTGGTTTTTGAACATTTCCTACCCATATATTATGCTTGATTTGAGCACTGATTTAAGGAAGCATTTAATAAACTGAAAGATCCAGTTTAGGAAGAAAGAGGAATCTTTGAAAACCAGTCTGAAGAAGAAGACAGGTGCCATCACTATCCCACGGCGGGGCGGGGGGTCGATTACAGACCCCGGGTGAGTTTAAGGCAGAGGAGCTTCCCAATCTGGTTGCAGTGTGGAGAAAGGATTAGAAGGGGTTAGTGTTTGTGCTCAGCCCTTCACTCACATAATAAAATAAGTTGAATGTTATTTTATACCACTCTGAGTACCTGGTTATAAATAAATTTCTCATTCACCAGATGGAGAGCTGTTTGTTGACATGTACCTTAATTCTTGGATCTTTCAACTTATCACAGATTTTAAAATGTACAGTAGAATGACTCACTAAGAGGAAAAATAAAATAGTACAAACATTCCTCAATCACCAAGCTCTGAGGAATAAAAGCACAGAGGAGTCTGCACGGGGCAGATGGAGAAGCATATGCTCCCTCATCCTCTGAGCTGGTGGAGCTGTGAACGTGAGATTAGCCTCACAAAAAAATGACAGAGAGGGGGATTTTATACATATAGACATATATATGTAGCAAATACATACCCGCTGAATCCCACTATAATACAAAGAAGAGAATAAAACTTTATAAATCCCACAGAACTTGTGAATATTGTATGGGGGAACACGATGAGTTTATGGTTAGGTCTCATTAGGCTTATACTCAAATAAGTGCTGTGTTTCCAGGACACAAATTGGTCTAAAGAATTTTTCAAATCCAGGTTGTAATGGGACTCAATCATTTATTGGTTTATGAAATTAAAAAACTTATTCTTATAAAATCATTTTCCAAGGCAAAAGGGGCCTTTCCACCAAAGCTTTCCATCCCCATGACTACGAGCTCTGTGAGAGGAGAGGTCCTGGCTTCTGTAGAGGGTGGGGTGTGGTGTGTACACCTCCCTCCACAGCACACCATTGAGGACTCCCCTGAACCTGGAGTTATCGCTGCCATCTGGCCATTTTGGCTCCCATGCCAGCAGTCTGTCAGGCAGAGAAAGGAGTCACTGGCAAGGGAGGGCAACTAATCCTAACAGTCAGGAGGTCCTAGGGTTGCTGCTGCATAAGGAGAGTGGGGAGGACTATCTTTTTTTTGTTTGTTATAGTGTCTTATTCTGTCACCCAGGCTGGCGTGCAGTGGTGTGATCATAGCTCATTGCAGCCTCAAACTCCTAGGCTCAAACGATCCTCCTGCCTCAGCTTTCTCAGTAGCTGGGACTACAGGTGTGTGCTACCATGTCTGGCTAGGCCTTTTGATTTTTTATACAGATGGAGTCTTGCTGCATTGCCCAGGCTGGTCTCAAATTCCTGGCTTCAAGTGATCCTCCCACACTGGCCTCCCAAAGTGCCACAGGCACTGAGATCACAGGCATGAGCCCTCCCTGTGCCTGGCAGCAGGGATATCTCTAATGCGAAGTGCTCACCAAGACACCTCTTGATGCTTTCATGACTGATAAACTACGCACAGGAGACTGCACCACCCCCAGTCTGATCAGGGAATGGTGTCCAGGGGGTCGACATCTCAAGTGATGGTCAGCAGACACGATGGCCAATGACAAGGGGAGGATGGAACAGGTGGTAGAAGGTGCTGATGAATATCACTTCCAGACCAGGAGCGATGGCAGACGCAGCAGAGGGTGTGCTAGCCTGCCCACTGACTCTACTCTGATTAAACTTCAAAAGACTAAACAAATCGTGACCAGCCATCACCTCAGAACTTGGGGAACTTAACACGCACGGGGAGTGAGCAGATCTCTGTGGCTGAGGGAGGAGACCACACAGATGTCATCAAGGACACACATCCTCTTGTCCTGACCTCGCAGCTCACACTCATTTTACTTACATCTATTAGTGACTGCATTCCTCTACCTTTCAGCAAGACAGCCTTTAAGTTCTCAAAGCCCTCCTCAACAAATGATGGACGGAGGAAGTAAGGATTACCTTGGTGTTTTGTTCCTTTGATAGGATAATTCTGAAATGCATCTTTACAAGGGTTTTCAAAATTCCCCAGAAGGCTTCAGTCCCAGTCACCTCTGTAGTAGTTGGACTTAAATCTTTATCTGTCAACATCCTCTCTTTTTCTCATGTACCCACTTCCCTTTCAATGTTTGCATTACCTAGAAAATAAATTACCTTCCCCTGAATCCACGACTCGGGGTCTGCTTCTCAGAGAAATCCAAAGTAGGACATACGAGAAGGTACTTAGTGTTCATCTCACTTCATCCTCACTCAGGAACACTGAGAAAGCGGCCCAAGGTCATTACGGCTAATGCATATGGCTGCTGGACTTAGAAAGGTTTCCAACTTCAGAACCCAGGCTCGTTCCATTACTCCACATCTCTGTCCCATTTCACCGGCCGACCGCTTGGTGGGGAAGTTGTACTTGCTGGCACAGA